GTATGATTTACATACTAATTCTATTTTAAGAATCAGTACATATTTGCATTCAAAATTAATAATTCTTATATTTTACACTGTAAAAAAATTGCCTGTATTTAAACACCAAAAATGGTATCAACTACTTTATAACTGAGTAGTGTTTTATTAAGTGTTCCACTGCACCAAAACCAAGGATAATTCTTGGTATAGTTAAACACCTAAAATGATCTTTTAGATTACTTGGTGTAAAGCAACTGCCAGCATGTATGTTATATGGTAACGCAAATGTTTATAAATGCAGTATGATATTGATACTCATAAGAATCAATAAATTTATTTTTACGATACAGTATAAAGTAAGAATCATAAATTTGATGATTAAACCTATGCCCCTGAATTAGAAATGATAAATTTGAGATGCATAAACAATATTATATGCATCATAATTCATCATAGATTTAGGATGCATGAATACAATATTTCTCAAAATAAAATTTGTTCATTAATCAAGCGAACCCAGAGCACAGACAGAACATTAATATGAATTCGAGCGAAACCAAAATGAGGAGAAAGTAAATATTTTAAAATTAGTTCATACAATTGACAGATTTATGTAAATCTTTTAAGATCATAAATGTCATTATTATACAGCTAAAATCATACCTGAACATTCTAACAGTTTATATGGGCAGTCAAATCAATACGACAAGAAGATTTGAATTACTTGGCAAATAATTGACTACAATCAATAGTCTTGATAATTAGTAACGAGGATTGAAATTTACTTGGTATTAAATATGCAATGACCAGTTTGTCTATTCAATCCGGTAAGAACTCACATAGAACACTTCATGTAAACAAACCACCATCTTGGCCAACATATAGTGAGTATCTGCATAATTATTCGGCTTTAAATTTCTACTGAAGGTCCAAAAGCATTTATCATACACTTACGTACCATCATTTCACAAAAGAATTCAGTTTGAAAGTATAAATATGCACTAATTATTTGTCACACTAACGAAGCTTGAAGTGTGTAACAAAGCTTGATTCGTTAGTATCTCGAAGTTACACAATTATTAATGCAATTTTTAGGGTTTTCCAACACCGAATTTAGATAGATAGTAAATCACATTTTTATTAGTGTAAAGCAGAGATAATTTTGGATATATGTCTGTTTCATATTGTAGTATGTTTAATAAATAGTATTCAAAAAATACTAATTGTTTACCCATATAAAAGTTTTTAATTAAACGTAAATTAAAAAATATATAACTACATAAATAAATATAATTGCATAAAATTCTTTTAGATATCATGCGTTATCAATGTATGATATGTAGATAAGTATCAAATTAAATGTGCATAGTATTACCTTGAGGCCGGATCTTTCTGTAAATGCAATTTCTAATAAATGCACAGCTTAGAAGAAAGTAAACTCCTACATGATGAAAATTGCGATAAACCAAACTTTATTATTATTCTTTAATTGTTTACAATTATTGTACAAAAATAATATTTTTTTTTGCATTTTTTTATTGGAAGAAATTTTAAGGTGCATTTTTTAACACTTTGGACTTGATAAAAAAATCCAATAAACTTAAATAATAAGATATTTATGTTTCTTATAACTGTCCGAAAGGTAAATTGTATTAGATGGTATTTAAAATTTTCTTCTAAAGAGAGTAAATCAGTTATATTTTTATATAGACAATCATTTTTAAAAGCCTAAAAAATCGTGAAATAATATTTTCTAAGTGATAAAATATTGCCTGATATTGTACAGTATATAGGAAGTAAGGATATGAAAATATTCTTGGGAAATATCTCGGGTTTTATAAATAAAAATTAAAAATATAGAATTATAAAAATGAAAAGTATGCATGAGAAATCTAGGAAGTGTGAATAAATTTGAAATTTAGAATGTAATAAAGATGAATTTGATGTTTACCTCTTTGTTGCTGACATGCATTTTATGCCATCTGTTTATGCTTTATGATATTGTAGATATTGTAAGGAAAAATTTTGTTTCTCAAGCTTCACATTGTTGAATTTAGATTAACTTTTTCTTCATGCCCATGCATACGTAACGAGGTGTGCTAATGATAATCTGAAATGATTTTAATTTGGTTCTCTTTATTTCATTTGGAATTTATTTGAAGACTTTGTTGGATATTAGAATTTTGAATGAACTTTACATGAAATTAAGATGAATATCATGAAATAAAACTGCCGAGTCTCAATGTTCTTTTTAATGAAATATTTGTTAAAATGAAGTTTTAGTACAACAGTTTTGAGAAAATTGTCCCATATGGTCTCACTAGTTTATGCAGAGGAGCTGTCAAAATTTGTGACTCACAATGTAACATTTTCAAGATACCGTGTGACAAATTTAACAAAGAAACATTTCAAATACTAAATCTCATAAAGATATAATTTCATTTGCAAAAATATTACAAAATATTAAATATGGATGATATGGATTGTTCTATATAATATTTTAGAATTCAAAGGAATTACGAAAAAAAATTTAAAATAGAATCAGTAAATTAAATGAAACGTATGAAAATTTGTAATGACTAAGTGATGTTAAATAAATTTCAAAAACTCCAATAAATCTTGAAAAAGATATAAATTTTGAGAAACATTTCAGAAAACATTGAAATTATGCACAAAGTATACTAATATATAATACTTAAGAAATAATAAATACGTATATAAGATTTAAATATGTATATGCTATTACATAAGATTTTAAAGAAAAAACATGTGGTTAAAAACACTTTTGGATTTAGTTACTAAAAATTGAGACATTTAAAACTTTAAAATACACTGCAAAAAAATAATAATAAATAAATAAAAACGGATCAAATCACGGTAAAAAGTACTGTCAACCTGAATGCATCACTAATTAAATCTCAATTGCAATATAAAATTTTATACCTACATTTTTGCAATGAAATTTATTTAATTATAGCGATTCAGTGATTTTACGGTTAATATTATTGTAAAAATGAAGGTATATCAAATGCATTGTCATTAAAATTTTACGGAAAATGGAATTAACGGCAAAAGTGTTGGCAACCTGAGCTACTTTTTTACCGTAATTTCATCAGAAATTTTTTAGAGTATACTCTGTGAAAACGTTGGTGTAATATTGATCTGAGTTGAGTGCTAAAAAATTATAAAAATTGTGGAAATAACTACTTTTTTTCAATATAATACCAAATCAAGCATTATTACTTGCTTCAAAGAGTGTAGTTAAATCTTTAAACTAATAATTGATAAAGCTTACACCAACCTGCAGCTCATAGGTGAAGAATGTTTTGCTTACCTTACATTGAATTTATTGAGTGCAGTAAATTTAATGAATAATTATCGCATATTTAAACTTAATTCTCGTGTGAACTGATAGTAGGGAAAGTTTTAAACGTATTCCAAATGCTTTTGGACCATTATTAGAAGTTAAAAGGCGAACAAATGCGCAATAATTGCGCAATTTAATTGTATCTATGCATCCTAAATATATTATATCTTATGATGCACATGGAATTGTGTATATTCTTCTTAAATTTATCGAATAAGTATCATCATCAAATTTATGATTGTTTTTTAGATCCTTTCGCAAAAGTAACTTCTCCGATTTTTAAGTGTCCCATATCTTTCTGCAATTATAAACTTTAGTGTAATTGAATAACAAGTATGTAGGTGGCTACTTTACTCTAAGTAGTGTAAAAGAGCAATCTAGGTGTTTACCGGGAACTATCATTGGTTTTTTTCGTAGTGGACTATTTAGTGAAACACCGCCTCGATGAAAATAATTGCTGCCATTTTTGATGTTTACATACACGAATTTTTTTTTACTGTGCGTAGCCACAGACAGCAAATAATGTGGCACAACTGAGAAGTAGTATAGACATTTCTCTCTAGAGCATTCCTGTTCTGTTTTAGTACTGGTGTGTCCCTAGGGGCTATTATTGTCCGGGATTTAGCTGATTGTATTTGTTCCTCCCTCTGCTCCCCTTGATGGATCACCTGATCCTGTGCTTTTCTTTAGACCATTGCCTCTTCTTTAGATCTTCTTTACACTCTTTCTCACAGACGCATATAATATATATATATATATATATATATATATATATCGCTTTCCCTCACGAAAATAGGATTAAATAGGATTAATGTGCAATTTCGAATGAAATTATTATGTTTCAAGAGCTATTGTTTGTTATAGACCTAAGTTTTTGTACAGATCTAATGTTTTGTATCTGTGTATCGATATGTTTCTTAAAAAAGTTTTATAATTTATTCTACCATAAAACAAATTGTTACAAATAAAGCATGAAAAATAATTTCATTTGTGCTTCAAAACTGCTTGAAAAGTGATGTAAAGCCTATCAAAAACACCTGGTTTTATACATCAAGCTATTATTTATTTTGTTTGTATGAGTTGTTTTGAATGGTTTTCGAACTTTAAAATAAAATTTTTATTAGTCTTTAAGAATTACTCGAAAAAGTTACCTTCATTTGAATGAATATTTCTGCTGCTATAGTAGAAAATGTAAAGCAAAAAATTAGTTTCTTATAAAAATGTCCATACCTTCATAAAAATTTAAGTTAGGCTTACAAAATTTTGTGTAGTAATTGCATATGATAACGAAAATAATTGATATGAGCTACAAGTCTATTACTATAATTTTTTGGCATGGGGTGTTCAAAATTATTTTGCTTTCGTTCGTAATTCATTGCCAGTCTCCCAAACTGCTACAATCTATAAACTTTACTTATAGGTATGAGAAATCATATGACTCAAACACTTCTGTAATTTTAAAATAATTCTATAAGTATTTTGTGAGAAATGAGGCAGAATGAGTTAATATAGAAGTGTTTGCATTTTTTTCCAACCCCTGTAACTACGAATACCATTAGACTGTTTAAATGAGTAATGATTTTACTTATAATAATATATTTCCTTTTAAGTAGTTAATGCGTAAATTAAATATATTTATTTAATTTTTTAGTGGGAAAGCAAACTTCAGACAAATCGAAAAGAAAATTTTAGACAGTATTATCGGACCTGGAAGATATGACAGTAGGATACGTCCTCACGGTATCAACAATACAGGTAAGTAACTCACTATTATCCGTAAAAGAGAACTAACGTTTTGATACCTTATGTTTAATAAGGTTGCTAAAGTAAATAATAATTTAACGGGATATCAACATATGCCAAGCTCTCAATAAACAGGAGTATTTGCTTATGAATTGAATTCAAAGACTGCAAGGAATACATATTCTGAGATATGAAATACGTAATCAATATCGTTGCAAAATGCATTGAATATCTGAAGATAGATATTCTGCATTTTACACTGAGAAAAAAAAATTAAGCCTATGCTACCAAAATATGGTCAAATCTACCGTGTTACTGACTCTATGGAGACACCAAAAAGCTCAGATTTTTTTGCCGAAGAGCTCTAGTAATGATTCTAATAAACTTGAAAAATATAACTTATAAAATATATTTTCATAATCTGTGCTAAAATTTGGTAAATGTGGTAAAATTTGGTAGCTTTTTCATACCTTAGAGCACAACATAGAAACTATTTATTAAGTTAGATTTGCTTTCCCGTTTTGTATTTTTTTAAACCGCTTCCTTTATCAATATTTTTGGGGAAAAAATGCAAAAAATCAGCAATTTTTTTTAATTTCATTAATAAATACAAGGAACTAAAACAAAACATAATACACAAGTTTTGAGTTGAAATTTTAATTTTTCGCGCATAAAAAACATTTAATTTATCATCAATCCCACTGTTTGAAACAGCGCTAGAAGTATTTTTCTGTTAGCTGCCTAATAGCGCGAGCCGCTTTACAACATCAACGGAATAAAATCTTGCTCCTTTCAGTTTAGGTTTATTCTTAAGAAACACATAAAACTTGCATAGTTCTAGATCTGGCAACTAAGATTGCTGGTATAATTTCTGGATACTATACTTGGCAAGAAAGTTTTGACGGACAATGCAGAATAGGTTGGGCATAATTATCTTAACCATTTTGGCTATCTTAGACCCATTTAATCACTGAAAAGCTCACGTATTCATCCAATATTCATAGCTGAGCCGTGGTGGCTCAGGGGATAGATCGTTAATTTTCCAATAGGTGAACAGGTGAAGCTAAGGTCCAATAGGTGAAGCTAAGTTAAAATCCTAGTAATGGCTGATAGATACGAAAGCCACACCCGGCTCGCACTGACTACAGTGCTGACATAAAATACCCTCAGTGGTAGACGAATCATGGGTTAGAGTCCCATTGTCGTCAGATTTTCTTCTCCGTGCAACAAAAATGGTTAGTTCAAAAAAGGGTTAGTTCCATCAAAAAGTCCTCCACTGTGGCAAATTTCTTCCAACACTCGATCCAGAAGTTCCTTTGTCTTCTGGTCTGGGCTCAAAAATACAAGGCTACGTAGTTGAACATTGGTAGTTGTAAACTCAGAATTGGGTCGGCTGTTCAACCCTGGTTATTAAAAAATAATATTCATTGCTGGGGCTGGGATAGAGCGATTAGTAAGGAGTTGGACTCGTGTTCATGAGAACAAGAGTTTGAATCTTACCGGCCAAAGAATCTCCGTGTATTAAATGGTGACTGGTGCAGATAAAATCGGCTGGGGTCACAAAGTCCTCCAAGTTCCCAGAACAAATCAATACTTCTGGCGGTACTGGACCAAGGAGTTCCCTTATCTTCTGGATTGGGTTCAAAACTACAAGGTTGCGAGGTTGAGCATTGGCTGTCGTACGTCGTTGGCTGTTCAATGATAGTTATAAAATAAAATTAAATATAGATTGCTATACGCTTTTTTGCAAGGTTTCAATAACGACTGTTCCGCGTTTCTTGTGAAATGTTACGATATTTCGTTCAAATACAACACTTATAACTTTTTTGTTAAAATAAAACAGCAACTCTTATACAAACGTAGCTTACTGCTAGGCTAAATTTTTAGAGACACAGAAGCCCTTTCGAAATAAAAGACTGCACACTACGCAGCTATCGATCGTTTAGACAAGACGCGTACGTTATTCTGCAAGAGCCCTACTTCAAGTATTTATTTCTCGTATTTTAACAATTCCTTAGGTCCCAAATTTTAATAGGCAAAAGCCAGTGAATAATTAAATATTGCCTGCAGGAAAATTATATTCCTCAGAGTTTGAAAAAGGTTTTGAACGACGTATCATCGATGAACTTTTGATTCCAGACGCAGCTCAAAATGCAGGAAAATAGGCATAGCTAAGGCACATAGAAAAATTGACACAGCTAAAATTCCATTTTTAAGAAATGGATGTAACAAAAAATTCAACCTTACCGTGTTCAACCCAAATTTCACAAATAAACGTTTAATACTTGCACAACGATTAATACTTTCAAAACACTAAGCATGGACATGAACGTGCATATTTCCGAACTTCGGATCGGGGTGGCTGGGTCTATTATAGTTGTAACTTTTAAGGCGATCTCTTCATACTCAAAATTCTAAACAATTATGATTTCTGAAGATCTAAATTCGTGCAGCGTAAATTTAATTCCCCCAATATATAAAATTGCAAGATTCATGAAAATCTTTAAAAAGCAACTGTTCACATATTTTTTTTTATTATTAATATTAAAGAAGATAATCAAAGAAATCTACTAAGTGCTTTAAAATAAGGGATGACATCACATAGAGAATTTATATCATTAATTTATTTATTAATTTATTGTTTAGAAAAAAGCAATTTTCATAAAAGGAGTTCGGAATCGAATGCTGTGTCAATTTTCTCGACAGCGTATTTTTGGATGCTATGTTTTATCTACTGTCCCTATGTTTAAGATGACTTTCGTATTAAAAACATTTTTTCAGTGTATTTAGCCAATTTCAAGTGAATGATACACTATAACTCGTTAAGAATTCAACGAACTGAAATATTTCTTCAATTCTTTCCCATTTCATTGGATTTTTGTTATGAAATAAGAACTCTGAGGAATTTGATATTTTTGTTATTAGAAGCAGCTAATTTGTCTGCTTCTGAGAAAATAGTACAATAATAACGAGTAAAAATGGCATTTCAAAAATTTTTTATAATATCTAGATTACGTAAATAAGAGCAAAATCTTCTTATTTGATATCATACGTCTTCTAGCCTTCCATGATTTTTTCTGATTCCATGAATGCATGTCTTCTAATACATCGTTTGTCTATGGTATACTGGAATGTCTCTAATTCTCTATCATTTGATCATTCCTTTTTACCTTCCGAGAATTTTTTGTCCAGTTTTTTATGAGATAGTGTCCCCAGAGAAGTACAGCTGAAGTACAGACACAAGTCGTAAGAAATGATTGGCTCAACGGGATTTCTGGGCAAGAAGCACATAAGGCTGAAAGCTTGGATGACCTTAGTGGTCGCCTTAGAAGCTTGTGATTGGCTTAGTTGCCATAGAGATTCCTTCTTATAACTTCTGAGTAGTCGACATTTTGGAATGTGAGCGCACCAAAGAAAACAACACAAAAAGAAAGAATAATCCCTTACCCGAAAAGCTAAGCGAAAGTATGAAGAAAGGGAAAATCACTAGTTTCCCTATATTCTATAGAAAAAAAACACTTTTCTACAAGCTACACTCAATAGAAAGTCCCTTTACTCTGAAAAAAGATTTTCTATTTAAGTATAATAAAAACAATAGCTACTTCCCATGAGTCCTAACGTTCGCTAGTTGCTACGATTCAACATCTATACTGTAAATATTATTATTCAAGTAACTCGTTTTATCACAAAATATATATTTTCGTATCGTGATTTAGTTTCCAAATAAAAAATTACTCTTAAACTTTTTAAACAGTCTTAACATAGAAAATCATATTTTAACCCGCATTATTCTCAACACACTAAAATAAGCTATGAGAGAGGAATTATCTAAAATTAATCATTTTACAAAACAAATTGCTGGTATTAATGTAATTTTCTTTAAATTTAATGACTATTTCATTTTAGTATATTTTTTAATCATAGGATGGACAATTTTCTTAACATAATTTCAAATTCTGGTGTAAAATAACGTAATTACATGCATATATTAATTTCCTATAAATTTTTTCATATCTATTTTCCCATTTTAATTCGTACAAAAATTTGTGTAGAGAGTTAAAAAAATAATGTTAAGGAAGTCAATTTTGCTCTTTATCTGAATTAAAACCTATTCTCCAATCCCCCTCAATTATTTGATTTGTTGATAATCAAGTAACTATGAACAAAAACTTAAACTGTAATCTTCAGTAGTTGGATACTTAGAATGCTTCTCAAATAATACTAGAGTTTCAAAGTTTTCATAAAGAATTCATATTTAGTCTAATAAGAAAAAAAAACTTATCAAATCTTTGGGTTTTAAAATGTGATGGTTTTCAATATGTAAACGATCCCTCAAATAAATTCTTTCGCAAGACAAGATGTTGAAATAAAGAGACAAGGTAAAGAGATGTGTCAGAGGTTTGAGATGAGATAATCATATTCCTTAAGGATTAGATCCCCCAAACCGCCTCTCTCAATCTCGACCCGCAGAATGATGGAAGAGGGGTTCAACCCCTACAGCAATTTTTTCCTGCATACAAATTCATCCGCTTTCGTACATGGTTTAAAATTACTCAAAAAAAAAAAATTCTGTATAATTTTTTTCATGCTATTTTTCCCCCTTTATTTTAAATAAAAAGTCTTGCTCAATACTTGCTTTAATATTATTTCAAACCGAAGAAAAACATTTAAGCACGTTAAAAAGGATTAAAAAGATTCATGAAAGTTTAAATTTCCTATATGCATTGTAGGATGAAGAGTTTTGTTGGTTATTATCACACAGTAAGTTTTGATGTTTTAAAGAAAATTTCTGGAATAACCAATTTACTTTTCAAAATATCTTTCATGAAGTATTAAAATAAATAATCAATTAGTGTAAATTAGCCGTATTTTTACTCAAACTGCTTTTTAAAAATAGCGATCAACATTTTGATTTATTAAAATTTTGATTTCATTTTATTAAAAATAATGAATTTATCAATTTATTATTTTTATAAAGTATTAAAATACATAATCAAATAAAAAAAAATCTG